TTTTTGGGGGGGGGGGTGTGGTGTGTGTGTGTCTCTATGTGATTTGCGGGGCTTTCATCTCCTTTGCTGCTGTATTTTCTTCTTCCCCATGGAGGGTTTTGTTTCTCCAGCGGCTTTTCCTGCGTGCAGGGCTCTGCCTGGATGCTGGACGTGGCTTTTCCATCCTAGCATTGTTGGAAGGAGCTGAAAAGGTGCCTCTCTTAGCAACCCAGCCCAGCTCGTTAGTTAATCCAGCCACGGACCCAGCCATCCTTTCTGCTGTGATTGGCTCCGTGCTCGCCGCATTCCCTGGATTCGGTGGGAGAAGGGCTGAAAGGAAAAAGCCTCCTCCATCCCGAGATCCTTGGCAGGTGGGGGATTGCAAGGGGGGGCAAGCTCTCAGATTGGCCAGGGATGAGCATTATTTATTTTTTTTTTGGCTGGGGATGCCAAAAAACTAGGGATGGGGATTGTTCCTGCAAAGAGCATCCTGCTGTGGGGTTTGGGGCAAAGCTGGGTCCTGTTTTACCACTTAAAAATGCAGCTGCTATTAATAACCCCGCTTGCTTTCTGCAGTGTTAGCAGATAAGAAGGCTGGATACATCTCCTGGATCCTTTGCATTTTTCCCTTGGCCACCTCCCTTCTCCCGTGATGCAGCAGAACGTGGGGAAGGGCCACGCTGAAGCATCACCCTGCATTTTCTCTCCAAAAAGCAAAGCTAGGTTACAGCCCTGCTCAAAAACCACGGGGGCTGGTCAGTGCTGAGACCCCCCCAGGGTATGTGTTGGGGGGTGCTTTTTGCTTTTTTCTTTCTTTTTTCTTCTTTTTTTTTTTCTGCTGTAGGCAAGGCAGCTGACAGGAAGATGACTGTTAACTTGACAAGATAAATCCCTTCCATCCACACAGCCTGTGAACAGGCTATTAAAATTATAATCTAATCCTTTATTAAGGGACTTGAACCCGCTCAGGAAAACGGACACAAGAGGCTTTTGAAATTGTCCTGCAGCCTCCACCCCATGTGACATTAAATGTTTTTTTAACCGCAACAACCAGCCATAAGCGTGCTAAGGAAAACTTAATTTTTGGTGTGGATGCTTCAGTCCTGGATGAATCTGTCATCTCTCTCCAATTAACCATGGAATCCAAAATCCAGCCTTTGCTTTTCAAAGAATTAGCGGTGTTTTGTAATATTCTCTGTTGTACGTGGTGAATATTTGCAAGACTGAGACTTGTTTTTTAAATCTGAGCTGTGCCAGAGAAATATGCAATAGGCAGGACTTGTGGCATCAGCTTTCCTTCACGGATATCCTAAAATGATCTTGTTGTGCACATATCATCACTTTTTTTGTTCCAGCTGGGAAGTGGATTTTTCCTAAGTACAGAGCAGGGTTTAATACCTGCAGGATTCATTACTTGCCAAATTCAATATCAGCTTCTTAAGTAAGAAGGTGCATATTGTCGTGTATTTTTATTCTTTTTATATTAACGGAGACCGTTTTTTCAGAAATACTGATTAAAAAAAAATAATTCCAAGCCAAGGCCTGGTATGTTGGGATTAAATATAAATATTTCTTAACCTTGCAGTGTGAGAATATGCTTTTATCAGCAGAGAAGCAACGCAGCTGATAACGTTTGTTCCTGGAGATGTGGTTTGTTGTGCCTCTGCTGTGATTTGCAGTCGCAGAACTAGTCAGGGACTCGTCATCCCCACCCGGCTCTGTTCCTGGCAGGTTTTTTTGCATCCAGGGCGTGCTACAAGGTGTGTGTCCCCTCCTTGAAGACCAAGAGGGGATGGGATTGAGTAGGGACCTCTGCCCGCTGTGTTTGAGGTGATGTGGTTTAGGTTTAAAGACGTCATTTTGGAGACCTGGCAGATGGGGTTTGCTGTTCGGCGTTTCCCCGGGGCTCGGGGAGAAGCTGCAGTAATTGAAGGCAGCGTCACCTTGGGTGTGTGTGCAGCTGGGCTGCCAGCCCCAGGGGCAGATGGCTTTGTCCATCCGTCATTAGTGGGGAGGTCAGCTGCAGTTTAAACCTGGGGGGGGGATTCGAGGAGCCCTGGCTGCAGGAGGATCTTGGAAAGTCGCCTTGTTGGTGTGTCCGGTTCCCCAGACCGACCAGTATCAACCGCTGGGGTTTGCGGGAGCTGCGGCATCATGGGTGATGGTGGCAGAAAAGGATGTCCCTGGAAAGCACTATTTCAGAGGGTTAATCCCAGAATTGGCCTAAAAGAAAAGCTTTTTTAAGTTAGAAGGAGCTTCTGCGTGTTTGTAGGCTTTAAGGTGAGGTTTATGCCTTTGTGTGAGGGAAGGAGATAGGGTGATTTTGTTCAGTTGAGCTTAAAATACGGTTCTTACTTTTCATATAACAAAAAAAAACCCTTCAGGTGCATCTCATCCAGTAAACAGCAATAAGATGGGAGAGGTGGCTATCTCCAACAGCATTGCAAAAAATATTCAGTGAAGAAAAACATGGAACTCTTGCAGCCTTGGGGGCCTCCCTCGGAGAGCGCTGCTCGGGCAGCGAAGGAGCGGAGGATGTTTGGGTGCCTGTTGTGGATGATGCCCAGGTTGTTTTTCCAGCCAGGGAACATCACAATCTGATACTCGGGGGGTAATTAGAAGTTCTGTTCCAGGCTCAGAAGAGCCATTCTTCAGCAGCTTTTATGGAGATGGATTGGCTGTAATTAACAGTCCGTGGAAGCAGCATGGAGATGGATTGGCTGTAATTAACAGTCCATGGAAGCAGCCCGCTTGGAAGGGGGAAGGAAAAAAAAGCATGTCCTGGAAAGTCTTAATTTTAATCATTGACTCACAGAATAATGAAAGGGAGGGAAGTATTGAGTTTGATGGCTTTCTGCAGATTAAGATAACTTCAGTCTCCCAGGGAAACCTTATCTGGTGGGAGTAGGAGGGGACATCTCAGCAAGCTTCCCAGGTGTTGGTGCTGGACACGTGCAGGACCGTGCTATTGGAACTGGGAAGCAGGCTAGACTTAAAATAATTCCAGTGTAGCTGCACACATGAAGCATATTTCCAACTTAGTCCCAGAGCACTCTTCGAAATAGAGGATATTTTCCACATTAGGAGCGTTCAGGAAGAAAATTATGGGTTTTGGCAGTGCTGGAATTAGGAGGAATAAAACAAAGCAGAGTCTTGCACGTTATGGGGTACGTGGGGCTTGGGGTTCCCCTCCTGCCCCGCCGTTAGTTCTTGCAGATGAAATGCTGAAGCAAAGCAGATGCTCCTTTGTCTGTAGGTAGACCCAGAGGGCCTGATGCAGGTGTGGTGTGTGTCATCCAGCAGCTCCTGTTCTTGGCCTTCTTCCCTAATAACTAACATCAAGAGCACACACACTGTCCAGGAGGCTGAGCTATTCCCATTTGTTTTCTGGAAGTGCCAGGTAGGGTTTCATCCCAATGGACGTGAAGCAACAGCAGATACAGCCCTGCAGAGACCGGGGAGGACCTCTGTGGCTGTCGCTGCACATATGGCCAGCAGAAGCATCTGCTGCCTGGAGCTAAAAGGGAGTTGTCTCTTTAGTTGTTCAGGGTGATGTTTATTACCCCGATAGATGTTGCATGCTGTGGTGCAGGGAGAAAACTCATTTTTCACAACCGTTCAGGAGAGTGGATGGTGAAGCACGAATTGGGGTGGTTCTCTGGTTTCGTGCCAGCGCTACCATGGCCTTGTGTAAAGCCTGAGAGCTCCCTGGAGCATATGGGCTCTCAGTGCCCATGGCCATCCCTCCTGAAAAGCTTCTTCTCACTCAGAGGTTGCATAGTCTTCTTCCAGGACTTTGTCCATCATCCATCACGCTCCCTTGATCTAGTAAAAGGTGGTATAAATGCCATCTCTCTAGATACCTGCAGCCACCTGAGGCTTCACTGCGTCGTTTGGTCTTGATGCTCCTCCATTGGGTTGAGAAAACTGAAGATGAGAGGCAGAAGGGTGCTTTCAGTTTGTGGTTTGTCCTTGGGTTCTTCTTGAGCAGCAGGTCTGAATAGTCTTGTAATAACCTCTAGACAGACATTAAAGAATCATATTGCGATTTATGCCCTCCTCAGAGTTACAGATAGGATCTAAATGGCCTCCTTGCAGCAGCGTTTAGCTACTAGAGCCAGGATTTAAGTTGTGTTAATTCCAGCTGTTGGGCCAAAAACTCTAGAAGTGCTAGCACAATGTAAATATTTAATAGGCTATTGCCATTTAAAAGATTAACAGCTCTCCAGCAGCTCTTCAGAGGGGTGGAGCCAGGTTGCAGTTCTCTGGTTTCCATCAAGTCAGTGAATTTTAGCAGGGATCTCCCTGGAAAGCTGATGGGAGTCGTACTCCGTAGGGCAGCCGTGGCTCTCTGCAAGTTACTCCTGCTGCCATCTCCCATGGCAGCCTGGGTCCCGACTAACCCTAGGTCAACCCCAAACGAGGACAATTCGGCTGAATTTGACTTTTTTTATTCCTGTGCAAACACGTGGTGAAAAGAAAAGCAGCACTGAGAAATTGGAAGGTTGCTGCAGCAGGAATGAGCCCACTGACTCTTGGTCCTCCTGTGATTTCTAGGAAGATGATGAGAAGATAATCCAGGAGATTCAGAAAGAGGCCGAAGAGGAGCAAAGGAAGAAAAATGGAGGTAAGACACAGTGTGTACCCGTGCTTTGAGATCAGACTAGGGACATCAGGAAGTCCATAGGCTTCCCAGCTACTGACAAGTGTCTGGATCCACTGGATTCTTCCCATGGCCTGGTTGCTTCCAGCTTTCTCCACATGTTGCTGTGCTGCACCAAGCATCACCCAGGTCTTGGTCCAGAGATCACCCGTTTCCTCCTGGGAGCTGGTTTAGCTTTAAAGTGGTGTTACTCTCAGGCTTTAGGTGGGACCATAGGGAGACACCAGGCTTGTGTCCAGCTCTTGCTTGGCCCTGGGTGGATGCACAGATCTGTCTCCTCTCCGCTTGACAAAGTAGTTGAAGGGTAGCATCACCTCTCTGCTCTGTGGTGGGGGGCACAGAGGCGTGCAAGGGGCTGCCCCACACCTCTGCAAAAGGACACATTCCCCCTTTTTTGGTGTGGTATTGATGGAAGGAGCCAACCCAGAAAGCTACTGCTGTGCCCATGGCTCCTGGAGCGTGGAAGGGGAAGCAGTGATGCTGTCGAGAGCATGGTTGAGGAACGTGCTGGGGATGGAGGATGCCAGTTGCAAATGTAAGATGATGGACCGAGTTGGGTGAGCTTTTGTGGAGTGACTGTTTCCTTTCTCTCCTCCCTCTGCAGAGAACAGCTTCAAGCGGATCGGCCCTCCTGCCGAAAAGCCCATGGAGAAAATCCAGCGAATTGAAGTCATCCCCAGACCTGTTCCTCAGAACCTCCACCAACCCCGGATGCCCCCTTACCCCTTCGTGCACCCTCCCTTCCCGCTCCCCCCCGTCCGACCCATTTTCAACAACATCCCCCTCAACATCGGTCCCATCCCTGCCCCCTACGTCCCCCCGTTGCCTAACATGAGGGTGAACTATGATTTCCCCCAGATCAACGTCCAGCTGGAGCACAACTTGCCTATGCACTTCGGCCCTCAGCCTCGACACCGGTTCTGACCTGGGGCAAACAGCACTTGGCGTAGAGAGAGTCCCTGCAGGGGAAAGCCACCCCCCTCACGTCACCCCCCCAGCCCTCTGCCCCTCTGGGTTTAGCCAGCTGCAAGGGGACCTGCTCTGACTCAGGCCTTCCTGCTCTGCAGCCCTCTCTAGAGCTTCTCTGAACCTTCTGCGATCAAACATTTCAGCCTGTGCTGCCGCAGGGCTCCGGTGCTGCCTTTCCCAGGGGTCTCTCCCCCTACATTGGGGCATCCAGATATTTGGATTTGACAAAGCCTGTTCAGGCAGCTGTTGGGAAGGAAAGTGAGACTTTGTGGAGCGTGGGGATGCAGCCAGTTCCTCGGGGACTCTTCCTGAAATCCTGCCTTCCTGCTGGCCGGAGCAGCTGCTGCACAGGCAAGTGAGTCCTGGAGGGAGGGAGGAGAGATTTGGCATCTGAATAAAACCTTCAGGAACAAGGTGATGGGAGCCAGCTGCCCCCTGAGGCACCAGGCTGGGGTTCCTGTGTTCTCCAGCATCCCTGTTGGCACCTCCCAGCAGAAAGAAGTTGTTCCAAACAAGTAAATTTAGTGTTTTGAGCGTTTCTCACTGTGCAAACAGAGTGAGGGGATGCAGCAGCCATCTCGTTGCTGAGATCTCAGTAGGGAAGTCCAAAGCCACGTTTGGTCTCTGGGCTTTAGCAAGTAGCAGATGACTTGGGTGCTCTGTTCTTTGGCTGAACTGAATTTGCCCCCTTTGAAGGGCTCAAGGTTGTGGTTTGTTGTTTTGGTTTTTTTTTTCCCCCAAGTGGGTGCGTTTGCTTTGCTGTTCTCATCTGACATCCCAAATTGCCCCCTGCTCCTGGCAGCACTCCTCAGGCAGCTGCTAGAAGCATCAGAGACTCATTTGCACCCTTCTTTGCAACAACTGCTTGGGCAAATCCCCAGTTGGAGGCGTGGGCGGTGGTGTTTGGTGTGTGCTGTGGCAGAAAAATTGAGAAGCACCAGCAGGGAGCTGGGGGGGCCCCTGAGCTGAGCCCCTCAAACCATGGGGCAGCTGGAGCCTTCTGCTGCAGGAAGCTGGCTGCTTCCGCGGCGCTTCAACTCCGAAAAAAATGTGTCTTTCAGTTTAATAGACTTTGGAAAAGCACGTTTTAAAGGCCAGCGTTGAGTTTTGCTGGGCTTAGGAAGTGAGGATTTAGGAGAAGCAAAAACTTTCCTTGGAAGAAGTCAGGGGGAGGAGGGGGGGGATGTAGTTGCTGGGCTGCGGGAGGAGCGTTGGCACAGAGCCCTTTCCCCACAGCCCTGGGCTGTGCTGTCTGGTGCCACCCCCCTCTCCAGGAGAGAAAATGGTCAGAAAGGCAAAAAAATAAAAATATCCTTCTCCTGGAAAGGCTGGGCTGGTTTTCAGCAGCCCAGTTGTGCTGCCGTTCTCCAAGTGGCTTGGTCTGGGCTGCACCCTGCCCCGTTCCTGCTGGGAACCCACTCCCTGCACTTCTCCTTTTATTCCCCCCCCTGTGTTTGAGCATCTGGGTGTCTTTTGGTTTTATTTGGTTTCAGATGAATCTCCCTGTTTCTGCCAGACCTTTGCTTGCAGCTCTCCGTGACCGCTCTGGGCTCAGCATCTCCTCGGGCGGGCAGTGGGATGCTCCTGGAGAGAAGTAGCCTCCTCCAGGGAGAGCTTCTTGTCCCCAGGAGGGGCTCAGAGGGGACTTCCAATGCTTTTTGGAGCTGAGTCAGCAATTTCTCCACTCTTTCTTGCCCGTGTGTTGAAGATACCCTGCGGAGTGCTCTGTTCCAGCCCGAGCTCTCTCTGGCATCAATAGCCGGGCACTATTCCCTTGCTGCTACCATTGGCTTGGTTTAGTTTAATTTATTTCTGGAGTAGTCTGGGGGCTGCAGGAGCGTGTTGCTGGCTGCTGGGCTGGGTTTTAGCCAGGTTTAAACCCCGCCTTGCACCAAGTCATTCCTGCAGTAGCCGGGAGCGGGGTGTCCCGATGGATTTGGGAAGGGCTGCGTTGGGAGAAAACGGATCCAGGTCAGAAGAAGCTCAGGTGGCTTCCCCAGATGGAAATGGCAATCCTGGTGGTTTAATAGCCAAGATATCGGGCTCAAGGGCTGGTTTGGATGAACCCTCCAGGCACGTGCCTTTCTCCAGCAAGGGTGGTCATGGTTGTCCCCCAGCACCTACCTGTGCAAAGAGGGGGGGTCACAGCTGGGACACAGCTCAGCTGCTGAATTGGTGGCCCAAACTACAAAGGAAACATGAATTCATCACCCAGCACTCCGTAGCTGGGAGCATGGTCCAAAAACGATGGTCTAATCCCATCTTTTGGTGCGTGGGGGGCTCAGGAGCTTGGCCTTGGCAGAGGGAAGCGCAGAGACGGAGCGAGAGGGATGGAGAAGTGTTGTGCAGAGTTGGCGAGGGGAGGTTGGTGTCTGTGGTCCATCTTGCTTAGGATGTGAGTGTCTTCTGCTGCTGTGGTGATGGCCCTGGAGGAGCCCAGCAGGTGGAGGGGGAGAGAGGACCACCGTCCCCATGTCCCCTGCAAAACCGTGAGCTGGTTTGTGTCCTGGAGAAGAGAAATTGGTGTTTGGTCCGTGATGGGGAGCAGCCCTGAGCCATGGGGTGACACTGGGCTCTCGGGGCTGCTCCTCCCCTCCAGCCCCAGAGACCTCCAGGTGTGGTTTCTGATGGCGCTTGGCTCTCTGCTGATTTATTTAAAAAAGGAAGGAAAAAAACCCAACTAAATTTACTGCACAACCACCAGAGCCACCCGTGATCCCGTCTCCGGCGCCTGCATCCCGTTTTCCTGCCCCTCAATCCCTGAAACCATTTGCAAGGGGACAAGGAGGTCGCTGTGCCCAGGCTGATCCCACAACAGGTACTTCTTCATGGTTAATTGCAGTCTCCCATTTTACTTGCCTTAAAGGGTGGAGAGAGAAACTTAGTATTTGCACTTAGCAAAACATTATATTAAAAGAAAGAAACCCTGTAAAGATGTGCATGTTCTGCAACTTTGTATAACAATAGCTGCAAATACATAGGTGGTTTATTAAAAAAAAAAGAAAAAAAAAAAGAGAGAAAAAAGGAAACAAAAAATATTTTTCTTTACCTTCCGGTAGTAAACTGTTCTAATATTCTGTGTGTAAAAAGTTTCCTGTATTATATTGTAATTTGAAATTTTTTTTGTAAATAAATTTGTGCACTCTGGCCTTTACCTCTGGGGTTTCGTTACAGCCCGAGACGTCGTCCCTCCGTCCCGGCCGGGGCTAGTGACGGGGGGGAGTGGGCAACGGGGGCCAGTGGGCAGGGTCTCAGCCCCCAACGGGGAAATGCTGGGAGTTGCCAGGCAAAAAAACTCATTTGACCCTCCTGGAAAAGCTTAATCCGTTCCACATGTAAAAAGCAAAACTGGATGGGAGAGAAAATGGTTTCCAGTCGCTCCTTTAAATGGAAACCGGGATGGGGGGTGGAGGGGAAGGGGAAGGGGGAAGGATGAGGGGGGGTTTTCCCCCCTTGCAGGAGCGATGGAAATGCAGAATCCGGCCTTAAAAGCCAAAGGAAGTGAGTGTTGGTGCCTGGGGGAGATGGGAAGGGTGAGGGTTCTCCAGAGCCCCTTCCCCACATGGGCACCCCCTCCCCGGGCTGGGTGTCACATCTGGGTGTCACATCTGGGTGTCCTGGCCGGGTTTGCTGGTGCACGGTGGGGTGTTGCTGGGGGACAGGGAGGGGGACACACAAGGTTAAGCTGGTGGCCATCGGAGCTGCTCAGCGTTTCCTGCACAGCCCTAATTTCTCCCTGTTTACAATAAGGAACAAACATCCTTCCTCCGCCAGCCCCGGCTGCCCGGCTCAAACCCCGGGCTGAAGGTGAAGGTCCCTCCTGGCCATGTCCTCCTGCCGTCCCCCCCACCCTGGGATGTGCTCCCGGCTCAAACCCGGTCTGAAGGTGAAGGTCCCTTCTGGCCATGTCCTCCCGCCGTCCCCCCCACCCCAGGATGTGCTTTGCAGGGGCTGTGCAGCCCCCCCTTTCCCAAAATTTGCTTCTAGCAAAGCAGCTTTAGATGTGAAAAGCCAAACCAGGAGCCCGTTGGTGACCTGCAGGGACTGAGCTGAAGTGAAGGGGCTGGGGCTGCTCTGGGGGTGGGTGATGGAGGTGGCCCCCCCAGCCCCTCCATGAGTCCGTGCTGCACCCTGTCTTGGTAGCATCAATCCTGGGTGGGCTGGTTGAGTTTTGGGGCTGGTTTTGGGTGTCTTGGGGGCTGTGGGGGCACATCCTGTGGGCTGTGGCTAATGGGCTTCCCACCTCCTTCTCCTCCTTGGCTTTGGTCTTAATCTTTCCCTTCTCCATAGGACCAAGCAGAGGAGGAGGGGGCTCACTGCTGACCCCCACCCAGAACCAGCACCCCATCGCTCTCCCCTCCCAGTGGGTGCCACCCCCTTGGGGTCATCATAGCGGGGGGGAACCTCTGAGCCAGGGGGAGAAGATGCAGCCCCATCACAGCTCTGCCCGGCTGGAGGAGGACATGGCTTCACTCCTGGTTGCAAGGGCAGGAGAAAGGTGGTTTGTAGTAGATGTTTTGCAGGAGGTGGTTTGCTGGTGCATCTCCCCGACCCATGCATTGGCCACCCGTCCCCAAAGACACCCGTGGGCTCATTGGGGCTGCTCTGAGCATCTCCAGAGGTGACCCTGCCTCCAGCCAGCTTTGGCTTCACTCCTGCTTGGTGGAGATGACCTGTTGGTCACCATTCCCTTCCCACCAACTGATCTGAGCCCTCCACAGCCAGGTCGAGCTTTGGGAAGGAATTTGGCCCCCAAAGTCTCCCAACACCCCACATGCTCCACACTCACACCTCATTAAAAGTCTCTTGCAGCCACGGTCGCCCCAACAGACAACACGTCACCACTCTTATCCGAATGCAGGTTTTTATTTTTTATTCATCTTTCTCCATTTGAAGCTATTTTTTTGTTTTAAGTTATACAAATGGCACTTACAAAAAAATAATAATAAAAAAAAAAACCCAAACCCAAAAAAAAAAAACCAACGAACAAACCCAAAAACTTAAAATTTTTCGGAGTGAGATGTTTTCAGAGAGTCACGACACCCGCTAAGGAGGAGACAAGGAGAGATGTGGACCTAGTGTCACACGGAAGAAGCCGGAGCAGGACTTACACGGTCGGAACTGCGACGGGGAGGACGAGGAGGAGGAGGAGGTGACACGGGGA